ATTAACCAAAATATCAAAAACTTAGATATTCACTTTCACATGTTGAACAATATAGATAAATATATATTAATCACTTGATTTGGAGATCGAAGATAAAAGAGAAAAATCCAAACTCCATATCAATTCTATACGAATCGAATGAGTCATACTCTACTATACAATGATAGATAATGATTTGTAAGACAAATAAATCATCATCAATCTCATTTGTCCAACTTGAACATAGTCCATTAAGAGTGTGTTTTAGAGTGATATTAAAATGAGTGATTTTGAAAAAATAGATTTAAATATAATTGATTTTACAAAATCACTATTCAAGTGATACCTTAATCAATCTAAAGAGATTTTAAATTTTCCTAAAATCAATTTTCTAATTTACCAAACATGTCAAAATCACTCTCAAATACACCCTAAATTATATGTTAAAGAATATATCATCGATCAAAAGGTCGGAGCAAATCTCTGCCGATAGATAAAATTTAAAAAAGAAAAAAAATTAATGGTGGATCACATCCCCAAAATGATAAGAAGTTGAGAAGCCCAAATAAATAGATTGGTGGGAGGGGGCTTTTGCTTTAAATTGCACCACAATATCTATAGGCCTATTTTTCAGATAATTTTCTTTAAAATAATCATATATTGGCAATAATGGTAATTGCATTATGGCCCATCCTTTTCCAACGCCCCATTCAATCTTTAAGTGGGCTTTTCAATTCAAGCCCGTTAGTTTGTTCCTTTTTTAAAAAAATTAATCACTATAAATTATTTTCATATCATCTTTAACTATTCAATTTTAATTATTTCAATCACCAGATCATTCTATTGTAGTAAGTTCCTTTTTTTCCCCCTTAAATTAAAGTTGTATTCAGTTATTATTATTGTTATTATTATTTTATGTTAGCTTTCTAACCTAGAATGATATAAATTTAAAAAAATAAAAAAAGCAATTTATGTACATATAAAAGTATTATTTCTCTTACATGAGGATGGCTTATTTGAATTAGTATTAAAAGAAATATTAACTCTCCCCCTGCAATTTTGACAGTAAGGAACCAATTATTTTCGACCAAACTTTATTATTTATAAATTTAAAAAGAAATTGTAAAATAGTATAAGATTTGGATTAGATATCTATTTGGTCTCTCAAGTTACAAAAGAGACACGTTAATCCTTAAAGTTTGTAAAATGGCTTTAAATAATTTGTGAGTGTAGTTGACCGACATGATATAGTAAATGATATGCAGGGATTTGACAAATTATTTTTAATGAATCTTAAAAAATTGACAACAAAATATAAATTTCTTACATAGGTGCAAGTACAAGAGTAATAATTTTTATATGCTAAAGATATATGTAAAGTGTACACGTATAAGTTCAATGGGATGGAAGAATTTGAACTCCGACCTTCTAGAAGGGGAGTAGTACTTTTGAGTGGTTGTATTATGATAGTAAAAATATGTATAAAAAAATATATTTTTTTAATAAATATACAAAAAATATCTTATGTAGCGGAACTAAAAAAAAATCAAAATATAGTGAAATTGATTGCATTTATTATACAGAATAAAAATATCCCTTACAAACCTTGAAAAAAAACAAAATGCCTAAATCTTATTAGATATTTTAAATCATGTTAATATGTTATATATTTTTTGCTAATTAATTTTCAATGCCATCCATTCAAATTTAGTTTAACTTAACGCTTATAACTTTTATTTTAGGGGAAAAAAATCAAATTTTACCCGTAACAATTTTTATCATAAAGTTTCAAGGATCCTAACAAAAATTAAAACTTTTTATCTTTTATCCAAGAGATAGCTTGCCTGGTTTGGAGCCACAAGGAATGGGTTCGAGCCACATGAGACATAACTTCCACCACCCCTTGCGTATGTGCGGTATGGGAACAATATGCATACCTTGATATAGGAGCAAAAAGGTCAAAACGACACCGACTCTTGGGTAATAAAAAAAAATCTTCTATTTTATTTTCAATGCATTAAAAAATATCCCTTACAAACCTTGAATCTCAATTTAAAAAATTATTCAAGGTGTGTTTAGTAATATATTTGTAAACTAGAATTAGTTACAAACTAAATTTTAGTTTCACCTAAACTTATATTAATTAATTTATTAACCTTCTTTTATGAATTGTGTATAATTATTATTTTACAGTGTTGTATAATTTAGAATACATTATATTTTACATGTTTTAATTTTAACAAGCATAAAATGAGTTTATAATATGAAGTAATATATTTATCAAAGTTTTTGCCTTTTTTAATGTAATCCTGCATCTTCAAAATTTCATAATCTTTACTGTTTGGATAAAAGGATTTTAAAAAATGAATCTCCAAAATTCTACGTATTTGCTGAATCCATTTGATTGACTGAACCCTAAATAATTTGGCAAAAAATCACAAATTAAAACAAAATTAAGGTTAGCTCGAATGTCGCTTTTCTCTCAAATTTTATCAAATTTATATCCGACATATGTTTAATAATTCATTAACTACATACCAAAACACTTTTTTAATGATTTTCCAAATGAAAGGTTTATTCAAGTTGATAAATACTGCGAACAGTTTTTTTAATTTAAGTTAAAATCCACGACAGTAATTCAAATTTAAAATGTGTTTACGTTGAATTATGCAAACTTTAGAATGTCAACGTCTTCTCGCTCGGACGAACTTACATGGAGCGACCTATATAAGGGAAGACTTGCATAATAAGAACAAATACTCCGAAATTCAAGTTAGTCTGGATCGAACTGAGTAAGTTAGTCTCAGATAGAAAAGTATATCCGTTTATAAGGAGTTAAGGTCGGAAAATGTGGAGAGACCATTCTATTATAACTATTTGGTTAATGGTTACATACCGTTGTTGTCGAGGTTGACAATAACAAAGCTTGAGAATATGTCTTCGCACAAACTCTCTTAGTCCTTCTCGAGCTACGTAGGTCGACTTCTTGAGTGGATCAGACTTTGTACTTTGTGTTGAGATAGATTTTCTATTCTATTTTGGTTGGTCCACGTAGTAGGTTAGATTTCGTCCACTGACAAAGTGTAATATTTAATCAAATTAAAAATATACAGAAAAACTTGATATACTGTGCCAATTTAATCATAATTCAAAGATTAAAATTTGTTTCCTTGGAGGTTAAAATCTGTATCACTTTGTACTAAAAAAATCCCATACATTATTAAGTTCGAGTAAAAATATATTACTTTTCCTCTATTTTTTAACCCACAATTTACGGTCTATAATTGAAAATTTTGCGTCTAGAACAATATTTTAAATATCAATATTGATAAAAATATCGAAATTTCAATTTTTTATAAATGTCGATAAAATTATCAGTAAAATATTGATATTGATAGTACATTTATAAGAAAAATTAAAAAAATAAAAAGATCATAAAAAACATTTAAATTAACAAATTAACATTTTGTTCTTTCAATGAGTTAAAAATTATTAATATTATATTATATCTATATTTGTAATATTTTATTGATATATATTTTATCAATTTATTTTGCAAAACTATAAAATACATATTAATTTCTTACATCAATATCAATTCCATAAATATATGAAAAATGTTGATGAAAACACCGACAAGGGACACGTCTCTTCCTCAACAGATATTTTGGTCTAGAATTGAATCATTTAGATTGTAGCATAAAGTCCCGTTAACTCTAGGAGGTTTGGGTCACATCACTTTGATGGGTCCTAACTTTTAAGAGCCCTTGTATGAAATAATTCAATTCCTCCATTATTTTTACGTAGAAAATTATTCTCATATTTAAATTCATTATACTCGTAGGTATGGATTTTATTATTAGTACAATTATACTGTGCCTGCGAGAGAAAGGTATTATATTTATAAATATTTCTTTATAATATTACCATTCGAATCGGACGAAAATGTTTTAATCAATTAAATTAGATTAATTCCAACCGCCTAAAAAGTGATACTTTAAAAATCAATATGAAGTGGTTTTATGTTTTCTTAAAATCAAAATTTTAATTTGCTAAACATAATGGAAATGGGAGTGATTTTGGCAATAACAAAATTGATTTTACTCTGTTAAAATCATTATCAAACACACTTTTATTCCAACATCTTCAAAAAAAAAAAAAAATCTCTAAAATCTCTCAACTTTAAACTAAATTTGTTATTTTTCTAATTCAGTAACACATATCGTTGGAACCTCTGAATTTTTATTAAAAAGAATATATATATTTTAACCTGTTGAATTATGCTTTAAATTGATGATATAATGTATTGTTAATACACACAAGAGTAAAATTTAGATAACTTATTACAAATTTTGACCAAAGAATTCAAAATAATTACACTTTCGTATTCGTTTTAGAGTGTTTGACTGACCGAACCACACCCATCTCCTAACTGTACACAACACTAAATACAACAGCAAAATC